GAGGTACTTGTACTTGTTGACCACCTCCACCTCCTCCCCCTCTATCTGAACCGGCTTTATGGCTTTGTCTATCTACTGGAGGGTATGTTTCGTAGATGTAGCTGTGATTTGTGGTTAAATGTGTTAAGAAACTCCAGATCAAATGGTGCTGGCCTCTGGGTGGCAGAGTTTAAGCTTGTGATCATGTGGGATCAGCCTTGGTTTAATCCCTTAGTGAGAGAGAGAGAGAGAAGAAAGCGAGGAGGCGAAACGTACTTATTGACGTGGAGCGGTGCCTGAGGCACAGTACTGATGAGAGAGCTCCATAACCATCTTACAGGGGAAATCTGGATTTTTCTCCTTGCTTTACTTTGGAAATTTGGAACCTCGTGTCACTCCTAGAGCTGTTACAGATGTCAAACTTTGGTAACCATCCATCTTTACTTTTTAGAATCTGGACTCGTCAGAAATCCTGTGAGACTGTATTCATTTGTTTTCTATCAGCGCTTTGATTTCCTCTGGGATTCAAGCTTAAAACTGGGAGTGTAAGTTTTACTCTTCATACCCATCTTTGAACTCTTCTAGAACGCCGGATCATTTTCACTAATTTTACATGTTATAAAGCTGCACATTCATCCTGCAAACTTGGACACTATCATTTCTTTCTAAATAAGTTGTGTTATTTTCCTAATGGCTCAATTAAGTTGTAGACAAAGTCCAGACCTGCCAAATGGAGCCGTTGCCCACAGCCCACAAGGTATGTGTTCAGACCTGGATACACACAGAATCAAAGACGACGCCGAGGAAGAAGAAGAAGAAGATGATGATGATGAGGTGGAACTGGCAGAGGAGGTTGGGGAAGATGTTTTGATGGTTGCTGAAGCAGAACAAACTGAAGATGAAAGTAAAGAAGACAATGATTGGCAGAAAGGAGAGATTACACATGTGACCCTGTTATCAGATGGAGAAATAGGAGAGGGGGAGGATGAATGTGAAGTACTGGAAGAAGAGGGGAATGGAGAAATGGGAGCGGGAGATGGACATCAAGAAATAACCACCACACTGACAACAGGCAAAGAATCTGAAGATACAAAGATGGCTGAAAATCTCTCTCTTTCCCCTCTATTGGTTGTGGTTGAACAAGGGAAGCGGCAAATATTAAACAGCAATGGAGATGATGAAAAAGAGGAGGAAAGTGAAGAAAACAAACAAGGGGGAGAAACAGCAAGCGCAGGAACAGATGTAAGGCAGGAAAACATGGACAAAGGCACCGACGATCACGTGTCCTGTCTTCAGGACGGAGGTACTTCTGTGTGGGAGTCAAGAATCGGTTCCAACACATGTACTGGTGACCGAGGCGAAACAGAAACTGCTACTTTGCCCACTGCTGGCAACATAACAGAGGTTAATCTGAACATAGAAGTGGCTCCTTTTTCTTTTGGAATAAATGAACAGGCCAGCATCCAAGCTTCAGCTCTGGGCACTAATGACATACCAGTCGATAGAAGTGTTACAGCTGAAGAGGTGGCCAATCAAACCTACCAATTAGATAATGAGAGTCAAAATGAAATAAAAAACAATGATGGAGAAGATCCCTCAGAATCCATAAAACAGGAGGTTGTTATTGATAATCTTACATGGCAATGCCAGGGAGTCCAGGAGTGTGTAAATCATGGCTATGAGTTCCCCGTGAGAGCAGGAACCAATCAAACGGCACAAGAACCAGAGCTGACGGCCCTAACTTCTGAAGAACAGCTACAGTCAGATGGAGACACTAAAGCTAAAAGGACTGAAGATGTCACCCAGAAGGAGCAAGCAGAAGAGCAAGTTAACAACTTGGCAGAGATGGATGGGGGAGGAAAGAGTTCAGAAATGGAGGCGACGATAGCCAATAATGTTGCTGGAGAGTTAATGGGCCAAGAAGAGCACAGAGCAAGAAATGATCTAGAAATGCAAGAAGAAAAAGCTGCTAAGCTTGAAATACAAGCTATAACAGTTCCTCCAGAACCAGTGGGCCAGACTGGAGAAGAGGTACATACAGACACAAAGGACCAGGTGGAGGAAGCTTCTCTATCTGAGAAAGGCATCGAGGTGAAGCTCGACGGGACAGAAGGAGAGGACAAATCTGAGAAAAATGAATCCACAACAGAAGGAAGTGCTTTACAAGAGCATCCTTTGCAGCTCCTGAAAGAAGCAGCCACAATTTGGAGAAACAACACAAAAGAACATCCACAGACAGAGATGCTTGTAGAATTTGAGACTGGAGGAGGAGCAGTAGAAGAGTCAATGGAAGGAGAAGTGGAGATGGCAGAAGAGCCAGTCACCGTTCTTGATGATGAGACTGAAACGATGGAGGAGACGCCCAGTGAAAAATCAGAAGAAGTACATCCTTTCACCATTATGAGCGGTTCTGATGATGCCACAGACAAGATAAAAGATGAAGATCACCAAGTGCTGCCAGGAGACGAGGCCATACTGGGTAAAGAGGACATGGAGACACAGGACGTAAAGCTAAAGGTGCACAACAGTGAGGCAGAGGCAGATCTAAATGAGAGCATTAAAACACTGAAGCAAACAATGGAGAATGGGTTCTTGTGTCCTGAGCCACAAGGTCTTAGGAAAGACGAACTGGGGAAAGTAAAAGTGCTGTCACCCAGGAGAAAAGATAGAGACTGGATTAAAACAGATCAGCCAGAAGAAGAGAAGACTGCTGCTGAAAGGAAGGACTGGAGTAAAGAGCTGAGCCACATCAAAAAAGAGTTCTGGGAGAATGAGTGGGGAAGGAAAGAATGGGTGGATAAAGAAACGTCAGCAGAAAAGATCAGTTCACCGAGGAAGGCGGATTGGATAAATGAGCTGAAGTCAGTTATCAAAGATGAATCGCTGCCCAAAAAGAAAGACGAGCAGGTGAAGAAAAAGAGAGTGGTGCTGCTGGAACATGGTTGCTCATATGTCCCTCAGCGGGAGGCGATGACTGCAGAGACGAGGGAAGAGATCAAGGTGGCCTCCGACAGGAGAGCGGACAGTCCTGTGGTGGACAGTAAAACACTGGAGAACCAGCCCTATGAAATCTCCCTGTATGTCAAGGTAATCAACTCTTGCATGGTTTCTTTGGCCTGTGATGAATGCCAGACGGATAGTTATTACTATTATCATAGTGGGAATTTACAAAGAGCATTTTGTCATAATGAATAATGAATTAGGCTCTATGGAGAAGCTCATGATACAGCAAAGTGAAAGTGCACAGAAAATAAGCAGAGAAATATAAAGTTCTTGTGAGAACAGGGAGGACATTAGTACAAGAGAAAATCTGAAAATGAAAGGAAATATGATATGAATACACAAAAGAATTAGGAACAAGAAACACAGATAAAACTAATAAAGACTGATAAAACGTTATGAAATGTTAGCTTCATATATCAAAGACTTTTTCCATCCCACTCGCCATCAGGCCTCCGTCTGTGTTTGAACCTGATACAAACCTGAAGACGACTTCCTGAACATCAAGATCAGAGTATTGGCTCCATAAAATGTGACGAAAAAAACTTCAAGCTGTCCTGACTTAGAAAATAATTTTGATAAATATGAGACCTACGTTATAAAAATAAATTATTTGATTGGTTTTTTTTAAATTATTGTAAAATATTCGATGCTTCTAAATACTTGTGCAAAAAAAAGTGAAAAATACCACATTCTTTGTAAGAGTCCCAGAATCTGCAACGGTAAATACCTCAGTCATAAAGAATATGCATTTATCTTCTTATTTGTTCTTATTATGTTTTTGGTAACCAATTTTATAAGATACTAAGCCATCAGTGAAATTAGCACAATTATAGCTTTTAATAATTTTCCATGTTACACCATTGTTAGTGAAAACTTCCTTAATTACACAAAAATATCAGTTAATAACAAATAAATCTACACAGAGACTAAACGACCTTTATTGTTAATATTTCACTGCCTCATATGTTATAAATGCATTTGTCGTATTAAGTAGAATTTATGCTTAGATGTGTTTTTACAGTCTTTCTATGTGGTACAAAAAGGATCCTGATTTTTCCATGGCATTCTACTGTAGCATTAAACATACTGATTCACTGTCAGTGTAATTTATTGATATTTCATGTACTTCAAAAAATACAGTCAATTTGTCTACCCCAATCCAAGTTTATTTATAAAGCATTTTAAAATAGCCAGCACACGATCAAAGTGCTGTGCAGGAAATAAGTTAATAACAATAGAATAAAATAAAACACATAATACATAAAGATTTGACTTTTATTTTTTTTAAAAACCCCAACAACATAAAACAACTTAGAATTAACTAAATAAAATAAAATAAAATAAAATAAAATAAAATAAAATAAAATAAAATAAAATAAAATAAAATAACACTGGATCTGCTACAGCAAAAGCACAATCAGGGGCAGCTGATCAGCTGACCTGAGAGAGCAGGTGGCTGTATAAGGCTGTAGCAGCTCAGAGAGATAGGATGGGGCGAGCTTTAAAAGCAAATAAAAGAATTTTAAAATGAATCCTGAAAGAAATGGGCAGCCAGTGAAATGAAGCTAAACTAGAGGAAATGTGCTCAAACTTCAGACGAGCTGCAGCATTTTGCACCCTCGGTAAATGACTTCAGATCACAGTCCACTTTGACCCCCAGGTTTGTGACAGCTGGCTTAACATATTGGGTCAAGGTATCTAAATACACATTGGGGGTCTCAGTGGGGCTACCAAACACCATCACCTCAGTCTCTTTATCACTGAATTTTAAAAAGTTAAGAGACATCCAAGCCTTAATTGAGACACTGAAGTAATGGCTGTGTGGAACATGAGCCTTTGTTCTGCAGAGGGACATGGATCTGACAGTCAGCACCATAGAAGTGAAACGCAATGCTGTGTTCTCTCATCAAACCAAGAGGAAGCAGATACAAAGAAAAGAGGCTGAGAGCTGAGCACAAACAAACACAACACTGGCAGTGACACACGGCAGACACACACAATGTATAGAACCGATGTTTGCAGTGCAGCAGAGAGGGTTATCGAGCCCACGAAGGCTCTGACAGCAGCTCAGGTGATACCTGCTCAGTAAAGTGTGTGGAGATGTCACTGGTGTCTATAACTTGTTACATACATGTAGTGTCACTGGTGCCTGAAACTTTGAGGCTGTAGCAGCTTCATCAGTATGTTAATCAAACTCTGACTTTAAACTGAGACGCTGAGAGTTTCCTGTTCCAGAGCAGCTGAATTAGTTCAATAAGCTCAACTTTGTGTGAGGACGCAAAGAGAGCCATGACCGGTGGAGCTCCACCACATTTCACCATAGGAAGAGCAGTGACTCCACTTTAACACAACATCCTGAATTAAATAAAAACTCTTTGAATAATTATTCAGTAACACTGAGAGAATGTAATTTTTCTATATATAGAATACGATTATTTCTGGTTGTACTGGATAAAAATCTGTAATAAATATAGAGAAAAGTGCTTAAATGTTTCCCATTTCTAATCTCTTCTAATATTCAGCCTTCACTGACAGATGGTGCGTGTGACTGCTAGTGCTCATAGTTCCCTGAAAACAAATGCAGGGGAACTTTCCAAGTCTTTCGTTTTATCAGTAAATGTGCTGTAAGAAGTGTCTTTTACAGAGGTTAAATATTTCAATATAGTTTTGGGAGGTCGAGCCTGGTCTTGGCCCAGCACATTGCACACACTGTTTCAGTATTCACAGTGTTTGTTCACACAGTTGCCTGTTCAGGCCAGTGTTGCCCAGTAGCTCAGCCGTCAGCTGCCAGCTCATCTCCCTTCTCCTCCACGTCCCAGCATCCATGTCTAGACGACGGCTTGCTGTCACACTGGCCAGATCTAGACAGGATGAGCTGGGAAATGACCAGAGCCAAACTGAATCTGGTCTGAATTTGTGACCCATCCATGCCATGCAAGTGGAATCCGATTTAGATGAATTTCAGTGGATTTCCATGTTCAGACTCTGAATTTCAGACACAGAAGCCTTCAAAATGTTCTTTGATATCATGATTTACAACCTCAATCTGTGAACACATTTCAACCCGAGAACCTAGCATCACGAGAGTTAGAAGGATGGAGACTACGTATTCTGAGCTGTCTGCTTCATTGTAGGGTTGTTATCTTACTATATAAAGTGCCTGGAAGCAACTGAACTCAGGGGATGATTAATCCATGACTGCTGATCACTGCACACAAAATAGAAAACGAATATCTAATTGGAATTTTTGTAAAAATGTAAAATGTGAGTTTGGCAGAAATGTATGAATAAGCACAGATGTCTGTCAGCTGGTTCTCTCACACAAACTTGTTAGCTGAGCGTGCTTCCTGGAATAGAGCAATAAACTTAAACAGCTGCCTGTAAGAGTCACTGTTATTATTAATGTGGCAGAACCACAGCCACAGTTGGGTGTCAGACACTGGACAGGAAAAAGAAACTGAACAAGAGCTGAGCTCTCTCACAGTGAACATCAACAATCTGCAAAAATGAACAACAAGTGTGACCAAACTGGAGCAGCACCCCAGGACCGTGACAGACAAACAGCAAGTGAAAAAGCTAATCTTGATCTGCTTATCTCATCCCATTAAGACAGTGCTGTTCTAATCCATCGCCATGGTAACCCACATTACTTAATGCATGTAATTTTAAATGAGATTTGAAAAAGATTCAAAGTACATGAAGCTTGCACTTCTGTGACCATTGTGTGCTCTGTGCTCTGGTTCGACAGCATCCTGAGAATAACTTTCATTACCTGAGAGATTTAGCACAAATACCCGAGCGTCGGCCGCGTCCACGTAACAAGCTTGTTCAAACAAAGCCTTCCTTTGTCACGGGCCCTGTGGGCAGCACAGATGGAGGTAGATACAAATATTATGTAGAAGTTCAGGTTTCCTTCTCTGTGGTCTAGAAAAGCTGTAAATCCTCACATCTGAGGATTTCTTTAAAACAGCACGATCATGAAAATAAGCATTTTACTTTCAACTTATGCTGAAACACAGTTTCTGCTTTTGTTTGTAAAAGAGTACAGAATGAAATAGTCTGAATAGTGCTGGTGTGCTATGTTAATCTCAGCAGTCTCGCTGGGTAAGCTGATTATCCTCCTGTTTGTTACTGAGAGCTCAGAGCTGTTGCAGCAACATTCAGTATGAATTCTTTACTCACAGGAAAACTGTTTTACACAACACTCATAGCGCAAAGATGAAGCACGTTGCTTATAAAAGTTATTGATCACGTTACTCTTTACATTACTCCTCTGCGAGATCATTCTTTTAGAATTTCCTTCCAGTATTGGATCTCTAACAGTGACCATACTGAGATATTTATCCCAATTCAGCTAATAATAGGACACAGACACATTTTAGTTGTGTTAGATTCACCTGAACTTCAACAGATAGCTGATGTGCTTGTGTATTCACATGGGAGAGAAACAGGAATTATCATGCAGAGGATATTCTCCTGTACATCTCTGTTAAACACAGAGTCCAGATTTATTCAGTCAAATTAATTATAATATGAGAAAAGAGATGTAAGATCTACACTTACACCGTATCGTTCTTTTGGGCTTTTATTTCTTTATTTCCTTCATCCACCCATTTGTTCTGCTGTTCATAAGTGAAGCACTACAGTTTTTATCCATAGATCACCTGCAGGACACGTGATGACTGGTCTTTGTGTGTGTAGGCAGGAAGTGATGGACAGAGCATCGGAAACTGTCCTTTCTCTCAGAGACTCTTTATGATCCTGTGGCTAAAAGGAGTCATTTTTAATGTCACCACAGTCGACCTCAAGCGGTAACATGGTGCAGACGCATACACGTATTCATACAGTGACTATGATACACATGAGAGTGACCACATGCGCCTGACTTTTGGGTTATCAGGAAGCCGGCTGACCTCCACAACCTTGCTCCAGGAACCAACCCTCCTTTTGTGACCTTTAATGGTGAAGTCAAGGTTGATGTCAACAAGATAGAAGAATTCTTGGAGGAGAAACTGACTCCACCCCGGTATGCAAGCACACATTGAAAGACATGTGTTTGCGATGGGAAGCCGTGTTGAGGTTAATTTCAAATTTCTCCATTTTGTCTCCAGATATCCCAGACTGGCTCCCAAACATCCAGAAGCTAACACAGCTGGCATCGACATCTTTGCCAAATTCTCAGCGTACATCAAAAACTCAAGAAAAGACACAACAGATGGTAAGAAGGGACAGAGTTAGGTTGGAAACATGTATTCAAGAAAGTTAGTAAGGTGTGTGTGTGGTTTGTTTGTGACTGCAGCATAAAAAAACGCCTTGGCTGCATTTTTAGGTAAACAGCTGCAAAAAACTTTGTTTGCATAACTCAGTTACTTTTTTGAAGAAGTAACTATATAATTAACTGCCCAACATTGGTCATTGTTTACTGTATTTTACAGACAGAGTTACAGACTCTCTCCCAGACCACAGACTCAGAATACAGTCAGAGCTTTATATAAAAAAAAAGAAGAAAGTTGGAGTTGAAGTTATTTTTCCTTCCAACAGTGTTAACATGCTACAGGTCAGGAACAAGATTTTTTTAAATATTCATTGTAAGTGGGCTAAAGCAGTTCATTAAAAGTCGTCTAACATAAATGCTGTAATTTGATTACTTTAATAAACATGTAACTTGGATGGATTGGATGCTGGCGTGACCACAGTGCACACGTCTGCTGTTGCTCACAGCGGTCCAAGGGACGCTCAGGGAGTTTGTGTGAGGGAACATTGGTCATGGCCATGCAGTGTTATACAGATGTTAAACTATATTAAACTACAGAAGATGGAATACGCAGACTTTTCCTCGTTTTATATTGGAAAATTGAAACTATTTAAACTAAAACTGCTTTCCCATGCCGTACCTCTGTGGGGAAACCCTCACCATAACTTACTCTTTTTCTTCTTGAATAATCAGGCTCAATCTCAGGTGACAGAGCTCATGGTATCACCTGAACAGAAAGCTCTCAGATTGTTGACTCACTTGTGCTTCTCAGGATATTTAAGAGTAGAATGGGAGGCAGAGGCTGTTTTGTGGAATCAGCTCCCAGTTTGGATTCAGGAGACAGACGCCCTTTTAAGATGAGCTTAAGACTTAAAACTCTCCTTTGTGATAAAGCATATTGTTGGGAGGGTAGCTCAGGTGACCCTCAAAGACCCTTAAAGTAATCATGTATTTTTTGAAAAACAGTATTCAATATGTTTAAACTATAAATGATTTGCAAAAAAACCCAAACAAAGCTGCAATTATTTGCATTTTATTAAAAGTCTTTGGGAAATGGTGAATACTGGTGTGTAAATAAGGAGCTGGTTGTTGTGGAAAACATCAGTGTTTGTTCAGATAGTTCATCCTTTCAATCACATCAGCGTGTTCTCTCCCTCTGACTTTGTAGCCTTACAGAAAGCTTTGTTGAAGTCTCTTCAGCGTCTTGATGACTTCCTAAGGACTCCCCTGTCTGCAGAGATTGATGCTGATGTCTTAGGAGATGTGCCAGAGTCAACTAGGAGCTTCCTAGATGGGCCAGAGCTCACCTTGGCTGACTGCAACCTGCTGCCCAAACTCCACATTCTAAAGGTCTGCAGCTTATTCAGGTTGCTAGAACGTTTACATGAGCTCGATCAGAAGGACCCATTTTTGGTTATTTTCTATGCCTTTTTTCTCAGGTTGTAGCAAAGAAATATCGTGGCTTTGAGATTCCTCGGGAGATGACCTGCGTGTGGCGGTATTTGAACCGTGCCTACCAGAGAGAGGAGTTCACCGGCACCTGTCCTGCTGAGAGGGAGATTGAGTTTGCCTATTTGCATGTTGCAAAATGAATGAAACAAAATGTAGGGCAGCGTATAAATCAAGGAAATCAAGAAATATGTAAAGAACATAAGGAAAACTAGTAAAGAGGAGAGCACTAACACACGGGTCTGTGTGTGTGTGTGTGTGTGTGTGTGTGTGTGTGTGTGTGTGTGTGTGTGTGTGTGTGTGTGTGTGTGTGTGTGTGTGTGTGTGTCATCTCTATCTTGACCATTTTAAAAATGATGACAA